TTGGTTGTGTCCGAGGAGTAGGCAAAATTAGCCGAACCTCGTAAATTCTGGTGTTCCTTTTATTGTTGATTTATTGTCATATTTATTATTTGGTGGCTGTCATAATTTTTGGTATAGTAATTGTGACTTATTCACACTATATACATTTGGCTTCCGCAATAATAACTTGAGTACGTAAAATATACAGTACTCTTATTAATCTGAAAGTAAATTTGTAAAAACAGCTAGTGCTTTTCCTTTATCTAGTGTAATTGACTAATTATACTATAAATCTTATGAATCTTCGAAACACTCAGTGCGTACAAATTAATTATCTACGGATAAAAAATAATAATTTCAACTATCGATCTCGACTAGGGAACAAGATATTAATATGAGGTTTAAGGAATATCGTATGGCTGAGTTAAAAATTTAATTACTCACTTGACAAGGGACAAAAAGGGGGGAAAAGACGACAATAAGGATCATATTTTTGCAAACACGTTCTAGAATCATTATGTCGGGTATATCTTAGGTCCTTTTAACTGATCATAAATTTTCATGATCAAGGTTACTGACTGTTGTCATTGAAGAAGAAATCATGAAAAGTAATTTATACAGTCCGATTTAATATATTCACGGCCTTTTATGTTAATTTTAAATTCTTTGTATAACAACAATTACGTGCACATTGAAAAAAATTTCAAAATTTCCATGCATATATTGTTCAAGATAATTCCCCAATATTATTACGTGTAATTATTTTGAACAATATACAACAACAACAATAACGATTATCTCTTAGTGCCAAATAAAATCCGATATAAGTTCACTTCTTCTTTAAGCTCAACTCATACTTTGGCATGATGATATGAGTTGAGCTTAAAAAAAGAAGTGATCATGATTCATATAGCCGATCCCAATTTTATTTGGGACTGAGACAAAATTATTATTATCGTATATTGCTGAAGATAATTGTAGGTAATAATGTTGGGGAATTGTTTAACATATTACAAAATCGAAAATGTCTAATTAACTTGAATTTGGAACTTGTTGGGACACAGAGATACGCTAGCCACACAACTGGATCGACCGTTTATTAATACCACATATACATATAATATTGGTATTTGGTTGATATTGAGTCACTATATTTCTTTGTGCATCTGATTAATTATATGCGAGAAGTTTTACTGTATGTCTTCGCAAAATTGCGAGACAAAAAGAATATCTCATACAAATATAGTGTAATTGTATGAGACACAAAATTATAAAATTTTACGTAGTACAATAAGAAATGGATAAAAAATGAGGAAGAGCTAAAGTAGCCAAAAGAGAAGGGAACGTGTCCTAAGGCGCATGTGCTTGCTCCAAAGGAAATTCTCGCAAATTTACTACTGGTCCCACTTTGACAGTTGCAAAAAAAATCATGCGCCTTCCTGTTTTTAGTTTGTTTACTCGAATGACACAAATGCCCTCAGTGCATAGAGGGAGTTAGGTCAGACACCTCTTAACAAAATGCAAACTGAAATTGGTTACGGCAATTTTATTACTATGCCAGCTGTGCTACAGTCCTCTTTACCAACGTGGTATCAATAAATAAAGACTGCCATTGTAAGACCCCTCTCCCGTTTCCTCATCATACCCTATTGCCTATGGCCGTCGCGCATAATAATAAAATGAGTTTAGATCAGTGTAAAAATAAAATTTTCTCTAAATCAAATAACGTGAATGGTAACTGTCAGTAATAATCTTGGTGGAGGGAGTTTCTTATATGCCCTGTAATATTATATGTGACGATTCTCGTGAAAATAATAGAAAAATATTTTCTCCCTCCATATGTATAGTAGATATTCTGTAAAGATAATTTTTCTTGTTTTACGTGATGCGTAGTACACTTTAGATAGTGTTCTAAATGATTTTTTAAGTTTGAATGTTTTAAGGTTTAAACTTTGGAAAATTAAGACGGACATAGTTATACACCAACTTCAAGAATCACGATTTGCAACGGTCGTGCGACCCTGGGAGATCCCCTATCTTGGCATTAATACCAAATGCTAATCAGCATATATGTTCACATGGCTAACTCTATGCAACTCATCCATAAAAATCCTTATCCAAGCATAAGTGACGACTATAATTTTAAAAATATTACTGTTTAGTTTTGTTAATACATCGGCGCAGATTGTTCACGAGAGCCTTCTTCCCAAATATTACATTAATTAGTATGCTTTAATATCTCTCACTGCAGTGTAATGCCTACTTGTTTGACTTAAAAAATATCGGAACTTTTCTGAACAAATCAATCAAAGAAAATGAAGGGGTAAATCTTAGCTAAGCATAATAATCTCTAGAACAGAAGAAAGACCAGGAGAATGTAAAGGATAAGAACTTTTTATCTCCCTTCAAAAGAAAAATCAATAATAATCCAGTCGGTTGTTTATGTAAGCGAGTTTACAGCAAGTATTATGAGTTAGAAAAAATGTCCTGAGAGACTTACATGGTGGTTTTACGCTCTATATATTGCCCTTCTAAGCGCTAAAAAACAAGTTATAGGGAATATTCGAAAGAATAATTCTAAGGTCCCCTAATGGGCCTACACTATTGCAAAGGTCGTACAACCTCTTGTTCGCCATAAGGTCGTCCTCTTTAGGATGTCGAACTTCGAGGATCTCGGCGTTCGTTGTACTCATCACCAGTCGTAGTTGTTCAAATTTAGACCCATACAGTTAGTCCCTCCGCTTGTCGAGGTTGCAACTTGGTGCGTCCTCGATGAGCAGACACCATGCCTTTTTACGGAGAAATTTGACCCTACGAGGCGTTACGGCCTAGCCAATGGTGGGAGGTCAGCGTGCTTAGCAAGACAGCCGGTAATGCATTTTACCGGGAAATGATGTCATCTTCACGTGCGTCATCATTACGCGTGTTTTCGAGATAGGGGTTGATGGCTTGTTGCTTCGATTTTGATGCCACTCTGTGACCTTTCGCTTCGATTCTGGCGCCACCCAATCCTATAAATAGGTGGAGGGTTTGTTTTTTCGAAAATTCTTAGCCATTTCGTTTCTGATTACCCCTCCT